AGTATGATTCAGTGGGCTATATAACACTTTTAATTGTCAGGAAATTACTTGTCTTTAAACGTTTTGGTTCAATATATTTACCTGTTGATCAAAAATAGCCTTAAACCTATACACTTATTTTTTTATTTAGTAACTTTCAGGAGGATGTACTCATTTTTGCAACAACATTTTATCACTTTGATAAGAAAATCTTATACTGTGTATAAAATGCTATATGCGGGGCATTGAAACTGCTTTCGAATGCATGATCGAATTTTACTTTCACTTTCGAGATTTGCGATCACACGTGCTGTGTAAGCTACAGTGGCAGTACTTACCACACATTTTACAAGATCAGATGCTTGTCAGGGATGCTCAGGATCTGTAAATCATTCGTCCATCATTCTCAGTCATCTCTCCTTACTCTGTATATGTGGTAAGTGAAATCTTATGTACTGTAATGTAACAGGCTACCGCTAGAAAGCAGCTAACCATGTCCCTTTAGTGGCTCGCGTTATTTTATTAGAACACGTTATTTGTTTTCCGTGCCTTTCTTAATACAGACACCAACCCATCCCTGCACATCATGGTTCGGCTGGCGGCTGGCATAGAACATGGGCAGGTATATGCAAATGTTTGGGGCGTAACTATTAGTGATCCCGACTGTAACGTCACAGTCGGTGTTATGTTCTGATTCGCCTGTTTTTCAGTGGTCTTTTGCATGCACGAGATTCACATAAGGAGGAGGAAACAATGGTGTTTGAGGCTCATGGTACGTTATTTCCATGTACAGAACTGTTATTATTCAACTATGCCAAGGTAAATACAGTTTTCCATTCTATGGCACCTTTAAATTTAAAAGATCATGTTGGTCTGCCCAACAATGTTCTCAAATATAATTTGTAACGCAGGTTGGAAAGCAGACTCGAAACACAAATCTTCTTTAACGTTCTTTTAAACACAGCACACATTTACAGAGCACTTTTAGTTCCATTAAACAAACATTATCTAATAACTAATACAGGACATTGGTTTTTCTCAGCTTCCAGTTTCAGTACACAGAAGGTACCCATAATAAGCGGTACAGTGGAGGTTTTTCTGTCAATATATTTAATGCCCCCCTTGTAAGCATTACTTTTTTTGTGCATTTTGTGCATCCCAGAGCATTTCAGAAAAATAACATGTATTCACAAATATTCAGATATTTCATGTTAAAAATGTTGCAAATTTCTTCTTACAAACAAACAATTATTTTTATATTATAAGAACATTGCATTATGCAGGATTTGAACATCACTAATTTTTCTACAAATCAAATAAAAATGTTGTGCGTCATTTTATGGGGTGTTGCTCCATGCGAAGAGCTTCCACACTTATTTCGATCCCTCTTTCCTGCTGAACAACAAACCAAGATGGAGGGAGAGAAATGAGGGCATAATGCTGACCGACTGCACCCATAGATCAGGGTCAAGCTTTTCTTTTGATTGTTTTTTTTTCTTTCATTCTCTCCCTCTCTAGGTATGTGAGGATGGCCAACTTGTTTTTGTTCCTGACACTTGAGTCAGTATGTTTTTCAACTGTGGACATAGAGAAAGGAGAGGAAGACAGAGAGAGAGAGAAACAAGCAGTTTTGGATGAATGTTGTTGCAACAGTTTTGCTATGTCTTATTTTTTGGTCAAGCAGGCAAAGTTCATATGCATAATCTCTTGTCTTTGTGTAAAAGCAACATTTTCTAATTCATTACTACGGAGACTGCAGGATCAAACCTCTTTGGTCGAGAATGAGCTTATCAGACTACTATTTTACTAACTTTACAACCAGTGTCTACTTCAATTCTACAAAAATCAAAACACTGGCAGAATTTAATTTAATAAATTAAGGTATCTGTTAAATTTAAACTAAAAGTCCCAATGCTGAAAACTTAAACACAAATACAAAACACTGGGATGGGTCTAAACAAGAACTGTTGGGTCATTTTCCTCAGAACTGCTCCAGCTCCAGGATGATTTTTCAAGGATAAATCATTGCAAAACTGAGCTTTGGGGCTGAGTTTGGTCAACAACTGTAGAATGGTTTGTTTCTGAACATAGATTGCGCTGAAAATAGAGTCATGTAATGTAATGTTGCATTACAGGCAAATTAACAGGACACACCCAATGGACTCCCAGGAATTTCCAAGGAATTTTTCCATGAATTCTTTTTTTCATGAGTCAGTTCTGTGAAACACTGAGGCCAACAACCCCTCCAAAGAGGATTGTGTTCCTATTTTTTCCCAAATTAAGTTAATAGTTTAGCACATGTAATTGGGGAAGTGGACAGCAACAACTGAAAACTGACATTTGAACAGAGTATTAGATTCGCCCCTCCTCCTATGCGAGTTAGGAAGGGGGTTCTTTACCTTAGGACATGGACCAGGCGCGTGAGTTTAAGCACACACATGTCTTGACTGTGTGTGATCGGACAGAGCGGACAGCACACACTTGTTTTTGTTGTGAGCTCTGTCTCTTTCACTCTATCCATTCTCCTGCTTTTTCTACTCAATCTTGAGTCAACCTGCCAAGATCAAATGCGGAGTCAACACAGCAAACAGCATGTTCAGCTAGTTCAGGTGTAAAACAAAGGTGAAAGTTCATAGGTCAATCATGGCACAGCAGGACTGTAATGTTGGAAGTTGTATGACAGAATCTGAATAACAAACATCTCCAGGGTGGATCTTGTAGTCAACAGAAGTCATTCAAATTTACCATATAAAATTGAAGCTTGATTTAAGAAAGTTTTATAGGTCAAAAAAGCTCACAGTGCAGTGTAACCTAAAGTTTAAGGGACTGATTTAGTAAGATAGGGCACAAAGGATTCTCATCTCACTAAACAAACGGTCAGTGCAGAAAGTAGATTAGCTTTGGCTGCATCAAAGCTCAGTTACAGAAGAGAGAGGATCAATGCTTTAAAGGGATCATATGACGTTGCTAAAAAGAACATTATTTTGTGTATTTGGTGTAATGCAATGCGTTTATGTGGTTTAAGGTTCAAAAAACACATTTTCCACACACTGTATATTATTGTTTCTCCTCTACGCCCCACCTTTCTGAAACGCGTCGATTTTTATAAAGCTCATCGTTCTGAAAAGCGAGCTGTGCTCTGATTGGCCAGCTATTCAGTGCGTTGTGATTGGCCGAATACCTCAAGCGTGACGGAAATGTTACGCCCCTTACGATACTGTGATGCCGTGTCCCATTGTAACATTGCAATCTAAAAACAAAAATAAGGCTTTTAAAACGCAAGTTAAATTCACTAAACTAAAAATTAAAATAATTGAGAACAAAAGCACCGTTGTGTTAGGCTATTTTGATTACCCCATTACAGTCACTTTACAGTCAGTGCTATCATAAAAATAGATCTGTAAGTTTACTTGTAAATTTAAAATTCTACATGTCACATTTATTGTCCAACTACAAATATTTCATCGAAATGTATATTTTAGTCAGAATGATTGCACTCCTATTTAATTGAGCTCTGTCTGTTTGGCACGCATGCGCGCGGCGGCGCTCGTTCACTGAAGTCTGTGAAGCTTAGCGGAGAATCGCAAAGCAGAAAGCTCATGCACTTCTGACAGAAAAATGGAAATATTTCCATGGCTTTCTAACATTTACAGATGGAGAATATACCTGTGAAATGTAAGTTATACTTTCAGGAAGACAGCACATTAAACACATTAAACCGCGCGAGTAGCTTAGTGTCTCTGTCAGCGGCACATGCAGCCTTTCTGTCAGAGCATATGACGGGCCAAGCCGCTTAAACTAATATGCCAAACGAAACTATAAACTATGTCTTACGAGTTTTTAAAGGCCTTAATATGAAGCTTGTCACATGTTTAGAACAAATTGGATTATGCACTTTCTCCGCAGCAGCTCAGTCTGTGTCCTCCACTATATTTTCAGATGCGCTCGTATCAAACTACTGTATATCGATATAAACGGTATTGCCTCATATCGAATCGCTTATAAAGAAAACATCGATATATCGTACAAACTCGATATACCGCCCAGCCCTAAT